GAGAATATGGACTTAATCCACAGAGAGATGGACTGGGGAATGGGTCACGAATGCCTTCTGGGCTTTGACATGTCTTTATTTTCAGAAAGCTCATCGTAGTTACAGGCCCGAGCATCTGAAGCACGAGCTGTGAGCCGGCCACCTCAGAGCCAAGAGCAGAAGGAAGAGCGACGGCAGAGCGGAAGAACACCGAGTCACGCTGCGGGGCAAGTTATAGGTTATCGTTTTCCTCGACAAAGAGGCAAACTGAGCTGAACTCAGCGTTTCTTGTGTGCTTACATCACACAAAGCCACTACTTTCAGTTCTAATGAGCTGCCCCATCCACGCAGGCCCCCCAAACACTAATGTGTAGAATTAATAGCATTTCACAAGTACAGAGCAAACACAAACCTTTTTGTTTGCATTTATCTTAATAAAGAGAGAAAATTCTTGTAACCATCAAAGCCAGCGCTTCACCTGAAACCTACAACAACTTTTGGCCTCTTTCTCACCCCGACTGCAGCTGTGTATAAATAGCTACAGACGTCTGGTCTATGAAGAGCGTTCTGCTCCAGGGACTAAATGACTCACACTGACGGCCATTCACAGAATTAAGTCCTCGTGGATGAAGAGATGCGAACCCGAATAAAGACGGAAAATGGGAGAGAAGGAAAATGTAGAGGTAAGAGAGAAAGAGGGAGGGAGAGTAAATCATTGCAGATATAAAGAGGGATGAAAGAGGGTTTTGTGTGTGTGTGTCATAGAGAGCAAGGATAAATCAGGGAGTGCGGAGCGATCGAGGGAGGAAAGAGATGACCCATTGAAGGGGCATGATTCAGCAGGAGGACCAAAATAGAGCCATTATTAGCCAGCCAGTCGTGCAAAGGGGAGTCATAACTCTTGGTCCCATCTTGTCAGTGGCAGTATTACTCAGCATGTAGATGAAGTGAACACCAGAACATACGCACTGCTTGCTCACTCATTTCAGACAGAGTATTTAACACTATTATTATACATCATGTTCCAACATATGAAGCTGTGGTGATGTAGTGCAAACTGCTCTCTGTGTACGTGAAGCCGAGTGATGTGATGCTCTGTGTTTAGAGGTTGGCGACGTGTCGGGGCGCACTTTGTGTTCTGTCTCCGAACTTTCTGTTTTTTATTCTTTGACTTCATCACGTTTTAAATGTTGTTTTGATTTGACTTTTATTATTACCTTTAACTCAGGGGTGTCAAACTTCAATTTGAACGTTTTTGTTAAAGATTAAATGACTGTTTTTATTCTAGTGGGGGAAAAACTAAAATGTGTGAATGTGTCACAGGGCAGAGGAATGAGCTACCAGAACCTTTTCTGTCTTTTTACACATTCAACATACACAGAAATGCGTTGTTGAAATCGCAGTTCTTTTAAAATATCTCAGGGATTGAATGTTCAGCTAAATGTCGTTACACTGACAGAAAGGGCAGTTTCAGCGCTGGGCTGCATGTAGCTCACAGTATAAAGTGATTTTGACGTTCCTGTTTTAAATTACTGGTTCTTAGTGCTTTTTCTACTCGCCTTGAGCACTCAAAGCGCTTTATACAACATGCAATAAATTAGACGTGACTGTAGGGTCCTTTACAAACATCTGCATGTGATGAGCTGTGAGTGAAACCAGGAGGAAACCTCGTCCTTAGTCAAGAGAGCAGTTTCTGATGCTTCAAGAATGGGAACATGAGAGGCTTGAGAGGTGTAACAGACCCATTTTTAACACCGCGGTTGTTTTAAGAGAACATTTTGTGCAATTAGCAAAGCAGCAAGACTGCCAGCTGAAGCAGGACCATCAATCAGGAAACGCAGGGAACTGCCCCGTGCGGAGGCATCAAACCTGAAGGCCCGGGCTCACTGTGTGCTCTTTGTGTTTTTGTATGCAGTTTAATTAATTTAATTTAACCCTTTCAGGCATGAATTATGACAACCTCAATCAGGATCTTTCTCTTAAGTATTTTTATTCATCTTTAAAAATATGTATTTCTCAAAGAGTTTTTTACATGTCCACTTAGGTGGACAACATACGTTTTGACAAACGAATCAATAATATGTCTGTTGTGTTTATGTGCAAGTCTACCATCAACACTGACACAAATACAAGAAAACAACCTTTGAATCCACTGCAGTGACCAGTATGTGTGAAAGGGTTAATTATTATTGTTAGCAGTGTTAATGTTAAGGACGTTTTATTTTTGCTCTTAGGTTACATCAGTGGATCTGTAAAGAGAGCACACGTGGCTGAGGGGAAAATATGTGAGTGCCGAGGCAATCAGTAGTGCAGCGGTCCCTCGTTTATCACGGCGTTACGTTCTGAAACTAACCAGCGACAGGTGAAATCCACGAAGTAGCCAACTTTATTTTTTACAGTTATTATAGATGTTTAAAGGCTGTAAAACCCGTCACTACACACTTTATACACTTTTCCCAGACAGGTACGAACATTTTCACACTTTTCTCTCTTGTTTAAACTCTCAAAGTTCAAACCTTCGTAGAAAAATAAGTCCAGGATTATAGAAGGAAACCAAAGGAGTGCAAAACGTTTTGTCGACATTGTTGTGTTTGTCGTGGAGAAAACTTACAAACCTACAGCACAGTCACACTTCTAGCATCGAAGATTTATTTGACAAACTGAACGCATTCTGTACTGTACAGAAGACACGCGGAGGAGATTGATTGACAATGGTCTACAGCCAATCAGGACGCGGATCAAAACAACAAAACAAAACAAAAAACATGGAAAATTGCACAAAAAAAGGCTGCGAAAGGTGAACCGCGTTATAGCGAGGGACCACTGTATCTGTGAGAGGACATCAGCTAAACATGTTCAGGTAGACCTGGCATCAAGTCTGGTATGGCTGTTTTTAGTGGGAACACAAAATCTTCCAAATGTTGCAACTAAACTAAGAAGGTTTAGTTGTGCTTAAATGTTGCATGCATGCATTAATTGGAACATGCATGGTGCAATAAATAAACTGTGACACAAACATGTAGAAACCTGGGAGGATGTAGTCCTCGAGCATACACGAGTACAAACGGACAATATTTGTTTGGGCCTAAATCTGCTGAACGTGTCCATCGCAGCGAGCAGACGAAGTGCAACGCAGAGTGCTCATTTCTAAAAAGTAATCGATGACAAAACCTTCAGAGGCGGCTAAATTTATTCAAAGTAAAAACCATTTTGTTTTCTCTATGCGCAACAGCCAGGCTGATTAACGTGAGACACAAAGGCAGTGAGTCAACCACTCCATCTCTGTTAGGACCTCTCCATCTATCAGGCTGGCTGCATGCTAACATGGGCGTGGAGTTTGGAAGAGAGTTGAGTGACACGTTGTTAAGAGTCTTTCTCTCCGGCTGGATTTATAACTACGAAGGAAATGCAGCAGTTTGTTTTGCAGTAGGCTTTTAAGAATATGTAAATGATCTGAAGGGAGGCTGGAAGACGAAGAATGATGGTGGATTCCATTATTGGCACTATCACAAGCACTGCAGACAGAAACATTAAAGAAATGAATATAAGAATAACTCACTACAGATAAGAGAGAGCAGACAGGGTGAGTCATTACTCTGACGTACTCAACCACACCTGGAGGGTTTGTTAAAGTTTAAAAGCGTCCTGAGGAGCGTGATGGCTCATTGTGGACAAAAACATTGTTCCTGATAAATAAACCACACGAGTGGCTGCAGACAGTCATTTTATAACCCGTTCTTGATCTGTGGATCAGACGCTCTTCTGTACTTGATGGAAGCCACACTCTCGTGGTCGTATTTAATGGCTTCTGCAGTCAGAAACGGTGCCACCGCTCTGCATTAGCATCCAGAAGAGCATCTGCAGGGCAACAGTTAGCTGCACGCCACTGTGTGTTCTTAGCCTCACGTGTCATGTGACACTTCATTAGGAAGATCGTTAAAACATACAGAACAACAGAGCTTTCAGAGGTGAGCGTGTCCATGTGTCTGTGTGACGTTTGAGAAACTGGTGCACTCATAAATATGCCAAGCAGCAGCAGAGAAAGCACTCTCAACGATTAAGTCTGCCTCAATCAGAATATGCAGGTTTGTTTTAATGGGGCTGTAGTGAGGAAACTGTCCTCTAGTCAGAGCCATCCCAGTAAGCACCAGCCTGCTAGCCATAAGGGTCTGTATCAGCTAGATCAAACCCACTGACTCCCACTTGAGACTACGGCTATAGAAGGTTTATCACCCATGTCCAGATCGCCCAGTTTAAGAGTCTGCTTTTTGCTAGGCTTGGCTCCAGACAAAACTAACCCCAGCCCATTACTCATGCTGCTAACAGCCAGCCAGTTTCCTGCCAGTTAATTTCCACTCAGTTTTCCAGTTCACCAGTGTAGAACCTCCAGAACCCAACAGTTCCCTGCCCGACCGTGTCCCCACGTCTTTGCGGTCCATTTTTCCATGGCTTTATTTGGCTCTTTGGTTTAACTTGTTCAAGTTGAATTAATTGACTTTGACAGGTAGCTACGGCTGTAGCCTCCTGTGGACCGAATGAAGTTTGTGATGCCATGAATGTGAGTTGGTGCAGATCCTCAACATTATTCTCAACAACAGAAACTATATATTTCTTTCTCTCTCTACTTTCTCTCCTTTTTTTAACAGTGTGCTGCAGGACAACTCGTGTTTCATTAAAACATGTCACTTTGAAACGGAGCAACAGGGAATGCCCCAGGTAGACAGTTTACCTGGGGTTTGTTGGGGTGTCCAATCAATGCTGCAGGTGGAGGGGAGGCAGAACTGGATCCCTGAAAACAAGGGAGCGATGGGATATTCAGAAGAGGGGGCGTATTTGCCCAAACACACAGTATAATGGATTAACAATACAAAAAGCCATACTTAGATTGGATCCAAGAACAAACTGCAGGATATGAGGATCATCTGGCACAGTGGGAGTTTGTGCTTTATGATTGCTCCTATTGCAGCAGGATGAGCGTCGTGATAGAGTACCATCATTATAATAGTGTAGAAGTGCCCGATTGTTCCCGTTAACACCAAGCAGTAAGCATCTTCTTTACTTCAACTCATTTTCTGATATTTGCTGGGTTATCAGTTATTTCCAGACTTTATTGAGGACACAGATCACGAGTGGGTCCACAGAACAACAATGATCATTTGTCTTTTATTTACGATGACAGCATGACCTCTACAGTTTATCACACTTTATCTTAAATCATAAAAAAATACTAATGCAAGAAAGTGAGGTTGTGATAACCCCGTCTAATGTAAAGTACCTGATGAAGTGAAAAATAATGATCGTATTTGTCACCGTTTGACTCGCTGTCAGAAAAGGTCTCAGCGCTTCCATCCAATTGAACCGACCTTAATCTTGATGAAATTTGAAAATGAAATGAGTCTACAGCAGGAAGCAGTCGAAGCCATTTTGTAAATTAAGATTGGGCAGATAACTTGAGGCCACTGGCTTTTTTTGGTTTGTAATAATATAACAGTAAATACCGTGTTGTGACACACTCAGGTCGGCCGGCGCGTTAGCCGAACACACCTGCATCATTCTGTCTGTTCCAGCAGGAAAAGCCTGGCTTTACGTGCCGTTGCACGCTGCATCCTACAGCACTTTATTTTAGGATTATATGCTACAAATAAAAATATTACCATTACAGTGCATAATAAATAGTGAGCTACTTCTAGTTACGATCTTTGCAAAGGTAAAGGAAGAGAGCCAGGAGAAGAAGAAAAGTGGAGCACTTTATGTCAGTAAAATGAATTCAACAGTAGAACCTAATTAACTTCCCTCCCCTTTGAAAACCTCTCACATTCATCTAATTTAGCAAACTTTAATAAAGTGCTGTGCGCACATTCGACTCAAAACAACAGACGGAAATCCTTTTCTGGCAGCTCACTGATGTTCTGCTGAAAGATCCTTTTTATTCCGTGCACTTTATCAGAGCGCAGATTTCAGTGGGCGACTCCACATAGACCGCATTAATTGGACAGAGAGCGCAGATATATCTTCTGATTTTTGCCTGGCTGTTCGTTGCTGGTAACAGAATTCTGCGTCTTCGGTGGTACGTAGGCTCCTTTCATTGCACTGAATGTCGAAATGAAGCTATGAATAGAACCGAGTACCTACAGTGAGGCACTGCATATGAAACACAAGGAAATATGGAGGCCATCTGTCATGCACCATTACTACATTATTTTCATCAGTCAGTATCACACATGTGGAAATGCAGCACTACGGCGTGACACATACCTCTTTTCAGGAAGGAATACAATTCAGCATGTCATCACACTTATGTCCCAGTACATTCTCAGTCTTTGATTCCTGAGCGTTAGGATGATAGCTTACAGTAAAAAATACATTATCACCTCTGAGCAAAGCCTGTTATTCCAGTGTCAGACAAATGTAATAATTTAGAGCGTCTCTGATGAATTCATCCGTACAGTCCAGAAAATGTGTGCATGTTTGATAGCAAACTGTATGTGTATGCAGGTAACGGTAGCTACATACTGTGACTCTACTGGTTTGCAATTTTAGTTGGGAATGATTGTAAATGCAGAATTATTTTCCAACAAAATGCAGCTGTATGCAAAAGTCTGCCCACACCTTATTTTACCTAATGATGATTGTTAATGAATCCAGACGGCTGAGACGTCAGTGATGTTAGCAGATGCAAACCTCTGCATGTGGCACATTTGATATTTTTTATTATTTTTAAGCCACTGAATTTAAAAAAGTTATTTTTTCTAACACCTGTGCACCGCTGAGGTTGCATTCACTGTAAAATATCAACAGAATAAACAATTTGCTCAAACTTTTGCAAACAGCTGTAACAGTAGAGGATCCCAGTTCCACTCAGCATTGTGCAAACATCATTTCTCATGTTCTTCTCTCTTTAAACCCGTCCATCCAACAGCTCACATAGTAAACAGTATCTCTTTATATAGTTATATGATAACTGCCAATATTTACTTCACCCCATTTTAGAGTGACAATGCAAGTAGAGCTCAAAATAGGTCAAAAAAAGGAAAGTTGCCATAATCATTGCAAAGACTGCTGTGACCTTGTACACTCTGGACTGTTTCTACAGTCTATTAGTGAGCTCTTAAAAGAGTCTCTTAAAATAAATGTGTACAGCATTTGTTATGCAGGATAATCCATTGATTTGAACCAGCACTCTGAGGATGAGGAGTCCTTTCCTGGGAGATGATTCACATCAGAGATGACAACTGCTTCAGAGAGCTTCGTACTGCTTTCAGTGAATGTTTATGAAACATTATTGTTCAGTGCATTTATCACTGCAGGAGTTTATGACATTCTCGCACTGTGTTGCAGTCCATGAAATGCAGTTTTGCTGCTACCAATGCAGTCTTTTTCCATGGACGATGTAGAAGGAAGTTCTTGCTTGAATGCCAACAATCCCATGACATTTCGATGCGCACGTCGCTGTAAGTGCACTGGCAGCTACAAACCAAAAGCTATAAATATAATTTTCAGCTACATTTCGCCTGCTGAGAATGAGGTATGAGCTCACAGAGTGAGAGACACATATGTGATTTCTGCGCTGTTGTACTCGTATCTGCCACTCCACAGTTCTACACTCGCACTCCTGTACATCGAGTCTCGCCTGTGGCCCCTCTTCTGCCACCTGTACCACAAAAAGGCCTGCTCAGATGAAGCTGCTTCTGGACTGCCTGGGACATCCTCCTCCACAGGTCCCACAGTCATATGGGATACAGCCACACACTCCAGTATCTCTGCTGTAACATCATCTGACTCCATGGATAGCAGGTCCTCTGAGGTTATCTCTTGGAGATCTGGGCCTGATGATAGAACAGGTTCTGAGGCTGGACTTGTGGGTCCAAAGTCTAATTCCAGTGATGTATCAGGAGATACCGAACTAGGAGGGGATATTGTGACAGTGACCTGTGGTAGGATGTCATGTAATCCCGAGGCTACGTCCTGAGACATGTGATACTCCGTAGCTGGGTCCAAACAGACAAACTCTGTTGATTCTGAAGGATCCAAAGGGCCCATTGCAGCAGGGTCAACAGATGGTAGAGGTGAACTTGAACTGTCTGACTGGTACATGGGTGGGTCTAAATCCTCTACATTTGATAAAGAGTCAACACTAATGTCAAAAGGCTCTGGTTCAGGATCCATAAACACTGAGTCCAGATCATCTTGATCCAGGGAAGTCAGCATGACCAAGTCAAAATGGACCAGATCAGCGTGATATATAGTGGTGGTGTCCAGTGGTTCTGGAAGAGGTGGCCAGTCTGAGTCTTGAGACTCTTGAGATTCAGGGTTTGGTGGAGTTTCTACAGAGCTGGAAGCAAAAGTTGAGACGGATGTTTTCTCCTCATCAGGGAGGTCGGAAGGATGATCGGGAAAGGTGATAATGGGATCTGGATCTGTGACACTGCCGGGTGGACTCGCAGGATCGTCCGAGTCAAGATACTCTGACACAACAATAGAAGGACATGTTATGCCGCTATCCAAATCAGACAGTGTAACAGGATCAAACTGAGGAGTTGGTGCATCACAGACTGAGGTTGAGCCTTGACTAATGGATACGGGCGATTCTGATGGTTGAAGTTCTTCTTGTGTTGGGTCTGAGGAATCTGTATTTTCCAGTGCTGAATATGTTGAGGACGCAGCAGTAGGATCTTGAGGGCCTGAATCTGGTTTGTCCACAGTGACAACATTTGGAGACTCTGAATCTGACATGATGTCATAATCCTGTTCATCTGGTGGTGACACTGTAACTACAGGGACTGGGTATGGCAGCTGTATCGTATCTTTGTGAATTTGCTTGGAGTCTGGGGGGTTTGTGTTATCTGTGAAAGATGGTTCAGATTGGGGTAGGAAATTATTACGTGGACCTACATCTGTTTGTTGTGGAGTGATTACCATTTCCTGTTCAGATGTTGATGAACCCTGAGGACTCTCAGGGGCTGTTTCTAAAGAAAGTGGCGCTGTACCGTGGGTGGTGAGTGTTGGCTCATTAGTGGCCATGTCAGAGGAGCTTAGAACTGCACCGTCGACTGCAAGCTCCGATTCAGCTCTGGTGAGCACAGCAGTAACATCAAGTGTCTCTGGCTTGACTGCTCGAACAGAGACAGGAAGTATTGGATCCAAAGAAAGTGGTATGGCACTTTCTACGTACATTGACTGTGGAGAGGCAAGAATGCTCGGGTCCATGGAGAGCTGTTTTGGCAGGCCTCGGCGGGCCCCTTTCTTTTCGTCTTTTTCTTCTGGACAATTAACAGCTGCATCTGCAGTGCTCTGCCTGACCAAGACTTTGCTGCGGGCCTGGGTCCCCACCGATACCTTGGATATTTGGGGCTTTTTCTCTCTAGCCCCCCCAGCGCCTCTATCTGCAGTGGAGGTTCCAAATCTTCCTGCCCCGGGCCCGGGTCCAGGCCCCGATCCCGCTCCAGGCCATGCCCTTGTTCCTGTCCCTGTACTAGGTCCAGCTCCTGCACCCAAGCCTGCCCCAGCTCCAGCGGCCATGTTGCCTCCCTGGGGAGACCATGTGTTATAATGCTGCGTGAAAGTGTTGAAATTACTGTTGAAAGCACGAAGTTCTTTACAGAGGTCCCTCCTGAGTTCAGCTAGCTCTCGACGCATGGCCGAGACCTCTTCCTTCCACTGCATGCTGATAGCGGCAGCCAGTGTAGCCGACTCTTTGATACTGGCCTGGATGGCCTTTGGTGATGGCCGTTCTGGAGCACTAGCTCCAGTGGATCTGAAGAGGCTCGGAGAAACAGGTGGTCCAGACAAGGGTTTGGCTGTAGCCCCCGTGTTGTCTTGGTGGTAAAGCCTGTCTCTTCTGATGGGGCAGCCTAGATCATCATGAGTCAGAGGGACTGTGTCTGCCAAATCCTCATGTATTCTGTCCTGGTCAGGTAAACAAGAGTCTTCCTGCACATAATTTCTGTCTGGAAGACAAATGTAGATATATATATCTGTAATATGGCCAAAGGTGTGAGCAGCTGGAGAGAATGTGCTTTTTATTGTCACAATGCAGTAACATCAAGTCATGCACTGAATGCCATGAGTCAAAATAAGATAATAGCTGAAATGTACAGCAGTGATTATTGTGCCAATCTCCTCGTGTGACTCCCACAGATGTATAGCAACAATATGTCATATTAGCATTTAGACAGCACTCCCATTTTGACTCATTTATGCTGATGGTTTACACTGCCTTCTCATCCTTAATTTCTAGCATGCATTCTTCACATCTTTTCAATGCACAAAGCTGAAACTCCTAGCTCCTGGAACACATCATAGAGAATGGACAATTTCGTCTAATCAGCGAGGTGTGCGAACAGTCCTTGCGTGCTCTTCGGCTTCCGTTTCAGGTAAGGAAATGTGAACTTTGTGCAGTGAAAAGAGGCAAAGATGAGCAAATATTCCAAAGCTTTTCTCATCAATCAGGAAGTACAGTATGAACCCTATTGAAAATGTCAAGTCCAGTTTGACTGACTAAATCGACTTGCCCCATTTCCAAAACTGGGGCAAAATGCATTGCACCAAACTCTTAAGAGATCTTTGAGTTTACTGAGAAAGCAGTGTAAGCAAACATTTATAGGTATGAAGAATTGATCATAAGCACATCTCCAGATGTCCACACCTCTAACTCTCCCTATTATAGCCCATATAGTTGGATCATGAATCTACTGCGGGAGGAGGTGGAATCCACTTGGACTTCTTGTCCGAGCCGTTTCTCTTCTGTTCTTCTCTTCACATTCTTCATCTGTACAAGGACGTATCCTTTCCTCTGTGAATCCAGCAATCAGGGAATTGTTGAAACCAGCAACAGCTTACAATTTGTTATAATGAATGCTCAGTATCAGAAGTAAATGCATGTTTCAGCTGAGTAATTTGCACGTATGATACATATGACTAACTAGTGCGACAGTTCGGTTACCGCTGTAGTCAGCTGATCCGAGTGTAGACACAACTGTCTGCAGCTCTGTAATATCATCTCGTTGTGCGTAAACGTGAGCTTGAGACAAAATAACTTGTGTGAATTAAACAGTCTGTGAGTGAAAAGCTGCTTTTGCAGCACCGTGTAAACTCACTTCAAGTAAAAACTTCATGTGGTGTTTCCAGCGAGACGATAAAGCTGCGTGCTCACTGTCACCATGTGGCACAACAAAGAAATATATGCAGTGGAAAAAGCAGCAGGTGTCCTTATTCTGACCTGATTTTTATTTCAGACACTTTCCATTTGTGATTTTCAATAGGGTTCATAGCTTTACTCTTTGATGCATCCAGTGGATGAGCAGATGAAGCACTGTATCCAAAGTACGAACAGCTCACAACTGGTAACTACAAATGCCTCAGTAAAAATGAACACATACAAGAATGATTCATGCAAATATTCTGAAACTGTTTGACAGTATGAGTTGGCACTAATAGTCTTTATGTATCCATAACCACACATCCTTGTTAAAATAAAACGTATTAGTGTCACATGTCCACTAATATATTGTGCAGATTTATGTTTAACCATGGTTACCTGTGGTGGACCTGATGGTGGAGGTGACGGTGGAGGCCATGGGGGGAATGCAGTCGTCATCTTGGGAGTAGCCAGCCTGGATGGCTCGCAGGTAGCTGTGGCTCCGGGTTCGGAAGCAGCCGGGCAGGTCCAAAGCGTCCATGGCCTGGGATTCCACCTCGCTGAACACAGACTCGCACACAGACTCAAACTGGCCATTAATTTCTGTTTCACTCACCTGAGAGAAACAAAGCCATAAATAAGCTCCATCGATCGAGGGTAGTGAGGATACATATTTTTATCGGTTGGCTGTAAACCTCCACTTTTTCTCACTTTAAAATCATAAAGAAGCAGAGTCTGTGAGAAGGTTCGTGGAGTCAAGGTCGTACACTGTCAGAGAGTTCGTGACACATTTGTTGTTGGATTTGATGTGAATGCCTTTAAAACAGCAGAAACTGTTTAACCGTTATCTCTCCACTCTCATTTGGCAATATCAGGAATCAAAGATAAACATCTTGTTCGACTGGGATTAGGAATTAGAGGAAGTTTAGTTGAAATGCTGGGACTCCAAGCAAATCAATATCTCTCTTTTACTAAGGAGATGAATATCTCAGCAAGCCCCACTGGAATCCTTTAATTTGTCCAGATAAACAATGTGCGGTAAAGTGTTGAGACTAAATTTATGTCAGAAAAATTATGCCTGGGCTTTGAAAACAATACTCAGTGCCGTGACAATGAAACTGCGAGAATCGGCCTCTTTAAGTGGGATTTTAAATGAGATGACTTTATTACATTTTCCTGGAAATTAAAGCCAACCCCTCTGGCTCCCTCGGGGATCCAGGAAAATCTGTGCAAACCTAAAGGATGCGCACTCACCTGGCTCACTTGGCTAACACAGCTAGCCTGACTGAGGGTGCTGACAGCCCGCATATAGCTCTGATTCCTGGAGCGAAACTTGGGTGAGTTGTAGTTGGTGGAGGGATCCAGGGCAATGCTTGGGTGCATGTCCCTGGTGGCTTGCAAGTGGTAGCTCTGACTGAACAGAGAGAGAGACAAAGAAAAGCAGGACAGGAGTGGGACTACAGCCATAAAGCAAATCAATTAAATATAATCTGACTGATAAACAAGCATTTTGTGTAACACGATGAAGAATTACTAAGCACAGCTGGCTGAGCTTGAGAGGGAGGCTGGATGACACCGTGGCTCTTAGGCTGTCTCTTCCTGTTCCCCCCCGCTACATTCATTCGTGTCCTTAGAAAGGCACTTTGATTTTTGTCGTGCTGAAACATCCAATCAGTGCTTGGAAATGAGGGAAATGCAAATCAGGGGCTAGTTAGTGAGCAAGCACTTTGGAGAGCACCCCAGTGTCAGCCAGGTCAATTAAACGTGCTCCCCCAGCAGTGCAGGAGAGGTGCTCAGAAACCCACGGCTGGTTAGGAATCTGCCGAAGAGAAAATGACTCGGAAGAAATGTGCTTTAAGTAAAATAAAGAATACTATGTGAGCCGCTTTTGGAATAGCAAAGTGAGGTTGGGTTCCCTCCGCCAGATCTATTTCTAATGACAGGCCGGGATGAGTAAGCAGTTTCTGGGCTTTTTATAGAGATAAACGCTGGTGTTTGGCAGCATGAAAATGCCAGTGTGATTAAAAGTCTCCCAATCCATCTTGTGATGCTGTAGCAAGGCCCTGCGTATTTGCAAAGTAATATCAACTTTCTGAACACTCAAAGACATGCTGGGGTAGAAACACCCAGCGATTAAGTGTAAATGTTGTGGTACAAGCACCACATATCTTATTTTTAGCACTATATTTAAAAAAAACTCTAAAAGCACGCTGATGTAAAGAACAGCAGGAAAAATCAAATCTGCATTGTGTGCATCATTGCCTTGTGCTTTGGCAGTATGAGCAGATTGCCCCAGGTGACCTTTCATTGACTGGTCTTGAGTGTTTGCTCTGTAAGGCGTCCATATTGAATATGTCAGCAGGGCGGCGAGCCAGCTGGCTCTGACATCTGACCGCTGCAACGTGGCAGCAACAGAGAGGCAAGGGGAGGAGCTGAACCTGTATTCACCTCAAGTCTGCAGCAAAATTGGTGATGTAGTTACGCATGTCACTGTTGATTTTATCCAGGCGGTAAGAGCTGTGGGTAGAGAAGAAAACAGAGTTACTGGGTCCCACAAGGAGCTGTTGGATGGATGTGACATCACGGAATGTTTGCTTGCGAATTCTCACCAAAGCGCCGCAAACATTAGGGTGACACCGTATGACCGTCATGGCGTTTGTGTGATGAGGAAAGTGGGTGGATGCTACAGTTAGAGTCAGCTGGCAGGTTGAGACAATGTAACACGTTCACACAACGAATGGCAACATGAGGAGTGCGGTACGAGTTGGTCCACAGTCGGTGAAGAAAAAAAAGGATCTGATGATGAATGCTGAACACCACAGCTACAGTGAAGCATCAATCACACTCTCTTTCTCTGTGTGGCTAATTACATTTGGTTAATTGAGCTAAATGAGGACAAAAACACTTTAAACTTTAAAGCTTTTAGCTGACAAGATCAGATAGAAGTGCACCGGCTGATGCTTGAAATGTGCATGACTTCGCCCATCGCTGCCTGTAGAGCTGTCTATTATCAGCAGCAGAGTGAAGGGAGGCTGTTTTGAGAATGCGTCGGCCCTTTATCAAATCATGCCACAGCAAATTTCCTCTAATGTTTCTGATTGGTACTAATGCACTTCCATTGTTGGCCAATATCACAACAGGGGATGATGGGAATCTCACACTTCCTGCTTTTTACGCTGCCAGTGAAAGTGCTGTTAGTGGTTAAACAACGTGCATTTTAAGCCGAAACCATTTCATCCTGGAGCAAAAATTCAAATAATCATTTGATTTAAGGGAACATTAAAAGAACGGGGACAAAAATTGGGAAACATGCTTGGGCGTAGGTGTGTTTGATAAAGAGCAACGCCCTGCAGAGATCTTTACTGCAAATGTTTTCTAGGGTTTTGTCAGTGTGGTGCAAGAAAGCAGCAATCCTGAAATACCTTAAAGAGGTGAGAATGTGAACAGCAGAAAATTGAGTTTAATGCACCTGCAATCGCCGAACCAAGACGACTCACAGCTGTCTGTGATAAGCTCTCGTATATGCTGTTTAAGCCATGAGCGCCAGCATCCAGGAGGCTGCGGTCGTCGAGAACGAGACGCTATGTCGTGGAAGATTAAAAACGCTCATTTTGCTACAGTGCTTTTGTTATACTAGAAATAGAGGCACAAAAGTGAAGAGACGAAGCCCTGGAAACAGAAAAGCAGCATATCTATGCATGACACGTCCCACGCAGCCACGAATCAATGAATTGGAATTCCGCTCTGACCTTGAGATCTGAGGGAGAAACGCTCAAACACAATGCCATCTAAATGAGTAATTACAGTATGTTGAATCAAGAATTATCGAAAGCTTTGCCAGTGTTAACTCTGATTAATTATAGCAGCCGGGAGCCGAACAAATGCGAGTTTTTTTTTTGGAAAGTGCCGTAAATGCACGTGATTGATCAGCTTGTGCGATCAAAGTCAAAGTGTCGTTTAAAGACAGGGTGACGGCGACAGATGTCAAGTGGAGATGCGCGTGTGCGTGTGCACGCGTGTCAGCGCACCCCGTTATCAGATGTGACATATGATTACCGATTGACTCATTATGCTAATGACTCATAGTGAAGTTTGCCACATGCCATTCAGTTCATCATCATTAATACTTTCTTTAAATATCTTTGGCAGGTCTGACCACGGCACAAACAGCCATTCATATTCATTTCATCGCAGCTGTCAGCTTTACAGGACGCGTGCGGCCTGGGCAGGCGTGGGGCGAGCGGATGATTATCTAAAACAATCACCTATCTTCACTTCTCGGCTCCACCCGCTCAGCGAAGCAGCGATGCATTCTTTACTGGTGAGGCGAACAAAGAGGCGACCCCGTCAAACACGAGAGCCCGGAAGAGTGAGGCGAGTTGACACGACTCGACAGGCTGTTCTCGCTTTAACGTGATTTGCTTCAGGGACCTGGTGCTGTCAAATTTGTGTTTGGCCAATCTGTACGCCCCCAGAGGGACATCGAATTGGTACGAGTGCAGAGGAAATCCAACCTGCGCCACTTCTGTCTTAGATCCAATCTAATTCCATCCCACGAGGCCGTTGAACCACAACAGCCTCAGAGCTCTCACATCTTTGACATCATTTACAAACATGGAGCGCAGCGCTACGGTGACACAAGCTGAAAGTGGTCAGACTTTGAAGTACCTCTTGAGATATTAACGTGCTCAGACAATTAAGAAGTATCACTGGTTTAAAATATCACCTGGTGGCTTAATTATGCAACCAAATTAAGTCTTCTTCAGGTCTAATTTCTTTTCAAATTATTGACTTAAAGTGTTCAAGTGTAAAAAGCATCTTTGTCAGTGCTGCATGCAGAGTAGGCCAGTCAGAAAAACACTTTGAGGGCTGATTTATAAACCTCGGCGCGCTCTTTCATATACAAATAATACACAAAACTTTCAGTCATGACAGTGTTTAGATTAAAGCTGCAGGTCGATCCGTGTCTCCAAGCTGACCTTCTCACATGTTCTTGTGCCTGTAAAAACTTCAAGAGGATAATAAAAATAATAATCATATATAATAATAGTTCAGGTCTTTAAATGTTTCAGGCATCTGGTACTACGGGGTCTTTTGATGTCTGATCTCTGTAGATTTGAAAGTCTATGAAAAGCACAGTTTAGAAGTTCAGGGACTGATCTGATTTACTGCTTTACTGCCACTTTATTAGGTACACCTTGCTAGTACCATGATGGACCCTTTTTCTTTAATTCTTCGTGCTTCAACAGGTTGCTGGAAACATTCCTCTGAGATTTTGGTCCATGTTGGCACGACAGCATCACACAGCTGCACTTCCATGGTGTGACTCTTCTGTACCACCACAACCCAAAGAAGCCAGTCTGAGATGATCTGAGCTTCGTGACTCGGTGCGCAATCCTGCTGAAAGCATGTATCAAAATATCCGCCACTACACCACCAGCAACCTCCACCAGTGAAACCAGGCAGGATGGAGCCATGCTTTCATGGTCTTTACAACAGATTCTGACCATGCCATATAAATGTTGTAGTAGAAATCAGAATTTCGGCATCTTTTCTCTCTCCATCGCTCTTCTCCTCTATTTTTCTTCTCCTTCTGTTAACTGTCTTCCTAAACTCTCTTTCTTTCTCTTCCCTGTCCCCCGCTCCTGTCCTTTCTGATTGTAACAACTGAAAATGAAAAAAATAAAATAAAACCTGAAAAATAAATTATAATAATAAAGGTCAAATAAAATAAGACAATCAAGTGGACCAGTATAGCAAATACTGTAATGTCTACTTGGGGAAATAAATCTGCTGGGCATTTTTCTTGGCCTTCAGGCAATAATTCTGATCCACGTCCAAATCATATCTGACAGATATTAAAACTTAAATATGTAAAAACACATTTTTATCCAACAGTTTTATTTATTTACTTTCATCACGTTTATATTTATGGTTCTTATTTGTTTGAAAAACAAAGTGAACTCGTAAACAAACACTGTGATTGTGTTGTTCTGTACTCAAACCGTAATTCAATCATTCACAGTGTAGGAATTAGTATGTTAATGTAATTGAAAAACCTATGGCCATAACCCGAGGTTAATGGCATCATCAAAAGCTAATTGGGGTCACGAGTTATCAAGCCTGGTGTCCAATCAATGACACAGGCTTGCAGGAGTGGGTCAGAGCTACTGTAACACACTCGGGCAATTTCAGTGTGCTCTTCACAAGGATGTGAAGTGCGAGTTGGCTTGGAGGAGAGAGATCTCTGAAACGTTGGCTACAATCTTCTCACTGAGGGTTTCAGTATTAAACAAGCTGTATATAGAGACAGTTTAAGGCTGGGGCTACGCGCCCCACATGTTGGGATAGCTAACGATAATTATTTTAACTATAGACAGATTTAATAAAAACAACACACAGCATTACGTTAGCATGCAAACACCACTGACTGCTGACATACATCAACTAAGAAGCGGAATATTCGTGTATTTGTGGCAGTTTTGCCGTTGTTTGCTCACACTAAGAGTAAACTGAATTTGTCACGTGTTTTAAAGGTTAATATCAGGGTTTAGTGGCGGCAGGCTGATGCAGCAGGACAATAAACCTTGAACTAAAATTCCATCTTTTGAAGCGGAGCGGTCGGAGCCCTAACCTTAAGCTGATGTAGATGTTGTGGAATTACCTCAGGAGAGCCGTTCGCACAAGATTAAAGCGCACTGCTGAGCGGAAGCAATTCCGTAAGGAAGAATGAGGTCCGCGGTTTGTTGTGCAAGCTTTTTAAAAAGCCGCTGATTGGAGCATTTTCTGTCTGGACAAAATGTTTCTGTTACCTCACACATCTTTGCCATTTCTCTACTGCAACTTCACTTCCAGTATAACGCATGTACACCTGCTCATATAACCAGGCTCTTTTAGTGCCGCGCTAAATCAATGCCAAGCTGTTGGATGCCACATTATGATGTTCTCAGAGCGCGATCAGTGGAGTATTAGTACTCTTCAGTAATGACACCTTTGGGGACGTTCCTGGCATTTAAATGAATGCACCGACCAACCTTCTCCTGCAGACTAAATGCCATAAATGGACTGGGAGTCAGGCCCCACAGCCTGATCCATGAGTGTCAATACTTTTCTTTCAGCGGAGCCCAGCAGACTCGGTCTAACCGCTGAGAGGGCTATTATTCAGAAGAGCCTTGGAGGACAATAACTGCAACTGATAGCCCTTCCTGCTGTTGCATCTTCATAAATCATTCACTGTTTATGTCTATTTAAAACGGACGGTGATGAAAGCTTTGCAAGGTGTGACAAAAGTTGCATATCTCACTGATTACACAGAAAGAGCTTCTGAGGTAGATGTTAACATGGCCAGACTCCTCATATCAGCATGATCCTCGCTGATCACCAACCATAACATTTCATTTGTCAGTATATATCCTCTGGATCACATATCTGGCTTATTATGTAGTCATGAAAGAGAAGTATTTAACAGTAGAAGCTGGTTTCTGGATATCTGCTGACCTACTTCCTGTTCTGTTATCCTGCAGAGAGACGTCGCAAACACTTTGCCAGAAAAGCTCGCAATTAATCCTTCTGCTGTGCGTGTGTGTCTGTGTTTTCGCGAGGGTCGGGTTAATAGTGGCGAGGTGCATTAATGGATTCCGTGGGTGTTGCCCATGGACGTTTCCACGCTTCTGTGGAAAAAAAAACAAAACCGTGTGATGGAAAAGCCTTTTAAAAACCTGCCTGAAGAGCGAGAGTAGAAGAGCGAGGGACTCATCGGTGTGTGTGGGTCGTGCATCTTACTGTGACTGTCTGACAGTGCATACCACAAACTACGGGGCTGTCACCGGCCACACTGCACACTGAGGTCAGACGCAAGGTCATCTTTGCATAATGCCTCCAATTTATGTCATTATTTGCTTTTAGGCTTGTGCAGACCCGAAGCTGAGCAGACAGACAGTGTGATTTATGCAGAAGTCTCAGCAGCCCTGTGATGAATTTTTCCTACCCGCTCGTCCCCGAGTGGAACACATGGCGCGAAGGAGAAGCTGAACAGGATATACTTACATTATGCAGCAGAGGCAACATCAACCCTGAGCCACAGGGATCGTAGTTCTGTCCAAATTTCCAAATAAATTTAGCAGAAAAGGTGTATTTTTTGTTAAGTATTACAGCTCTATAAACAGGCTCCTCCTATTCAGGGTTTATGTCTTTATTTAGCAGGGTGCTGGACAGTAGTGCTCATCCACCTCATGTTTAAGGTGCAGATAAAACTGAAGATGAAAAGGTGAATGGGGCCGGTGCAGAAGCCCCACCCACCAGTCACTGGTTAACATACCTGCCCCCCAAGCCCCAGGGTAGTTCAGTATTAATCCTGTTACCTGGGTAAGTTTGATCTAAAAATAAGTGTGGTCAAACAAGACCTCATTTTTCCTGCAGCATCACCTGCTCTGAGTGGCTTCTTCAGAGTTTAGTCCACCTTCCACATTATCCCCAATTTTGCCTCCAAGGTTCTTTCTGTCGTCACCTGAACTGAAGAGCACTCGAAGTGATTTTAGTTAACAGGAGAGAAAACAAGTGAATTAAAAGTTAGGTTTAGAAGTAAATCTAAAATGTTTTTACTCTTAAATCAAAGTCTTACTGGAAACACATCACAATCATCGGCGTAGATCACAGAACTACCGCAGAGTATTTGCCTTTGATCTTGTCTGCACATTTTGTCCCAAAGTCTTGATAAAAGGAAAGAAACCATCGAACTGTCTGAAAATGAGAAAGTAAAATCGGGCTTTCTGCGACTGAAGTCGAGGCTGCGGGTCTTTAATGGATCCCGCTGCACTCGACTCAAACCTTGGCTGATAAATGCACTCGATATATGAGAACAGAGGCAGATAAAAACACTGTGCTTTGGAAAAGCAGGTCTGGGATACCCTTTAAATTGTCACATTATTAAAATACACTTGTGAACCTCAGCTATAATTACAGTTTTCACATTCTGCAGAGAGAAAAGAAAGATGGCTCCGCTGAGCGAGATGCAAAAGTGAATCTACTTTCTTTTATTGCCACCTTTTAGAAATGACTGAAAATGGGAATCTGCCAAACACAATGTCTTCATTTAGTGTCTGGAGTACTGTTAAAACACAATTTCAAAACATAAAAGGCAGTATAGTAAAATGTGCAAAAAAGGAAACACTGGATAGAATATACAATTTAGTAATAGAAAGGATGTCGTGTGGTGCCTCTCATGTTTATCCAGAGCTGTGTTCAGGTGAACACCTCGTGAAGGACGAGGTGAGGCAAACAAAAACCGACAAATACCTCGAGTCTGTTGGTAACACAACCTAAGACTAAACGTTTAAGGACACAAACAGCACTCTTTAGTACAGGTGTCCCCAACTCCAGGCCAGTTTTTAGATGTGTCCTTGATCCAACACAGCTGATTCAAATGACCTCCTCAACATGTCTTGAAGTTCTCCAGAGGCCTGGTAATGAACTCATCATTTGATTCAGGTGTGTTGACCCAGGGTGAGATCTAAAACCTGCAGGACACCGGCCCTCGAGGCCTGGAGTTGGGGACCCCTGCTTTAGTAACTCATTTTATTCTAATCTGATGGGTTTGTAAAAGCAATAATCAAAGTAACTCGTCTCGCGTCTCTCTGTAACGTAACTGAGTGAGTGAGTTTTTCGCGTGTCTTCAGCTCATCTTATCTTGTAATCCTCTTATGAGTGTTTTCCTCCACTGACAAGTTATCGAAACAAAAGCCCTCAATTTCCTCACCATTTAATAGGACACGTCCCAGAAGAGTGCGCCTAACATGTTCTCACAGCTGATATGAAAACCCATGAAGGAATTCTGATGACTACAAGGTTCAGCCATCAGGGGCTTGACACCGACGTGCTGGTGGGTCAAATATGGAATATTAAAACTGGTGCTCGGGGGATTGTGCACGAGAGAGGTAACAGTGAGGCAACAATTGCTCCTAAGAACACAGATCCATGTTCATGATCTGAAATTACATCAGATGTCAGGAAAATGAACTCATTTAAAGAGGTTTTATGAAGCAATAAAGGTTCCAGAAGCTGGAAAAACTACACTTTTATATGAATGTCAGCTACTTTAAATCGGTCATAAATACAAAAAAAAAAATAATAATTAAGTGTAATCATTGGGCAAACAGTGGTTTATCCAAGCTGCAAGGAGGCTGTTGTCTTATTTTTACTCTAATTTGACTGATGTATCTCCTAACCGGTCGCAGCAGATGGCCCCGCCCCTCCCTGAGCCTGGTTCTGCCGGAGGTTTCTTCCTGTTAAAAGGGAGTTTTTCCTTCCCACTGTCGCCAAAGTGCTTGCTCATATGATTGTTGGGTTTTTTCTCTGTATGTGTTATTGTAGACTCTACCTTACAATATAAAGCACCTTGAGGTGACTGTCGTTGTGATTCCGCGCTGTGTAAATAAAATTGAACTGAACTGAATTGAACTAAAAAATAAGGCACTCCTACTCTGACTTCACTTTTCAGACCTCTAACCCAAACCCCATCTGAAACATAAATGGGCACAAAACCGATAACCTCAGAAATAGTAACACCGTTTTGCATTTAAGTCACATTTTTATTTATGTTTGAATTTGAGTTTTCATTATTAGTAGACAGCTCACAAAGGTACGACTGTACCGGGGTTACAGTACGTAACCAATGGTTGTTGGTGACCTATAATGAATTAAAGTGAGAGGAAATAAAGGGATTTTTAGACTGTGGGTGAAAACAGCTGCGGCACGCAAAGGAAACAGACAGAAAGCATGCAAGTCTATTATAATCAACCCTCAAACTAAACTTGTGAAAGTTTAATTGATAATTATATGAGCTGTTCAAAGTTTTTATGTTTGGCAGCCACAGCGGTATGAACCTCCACAGTTGGATCCCAGGGAAATCCTGGTGGACGTTGAGACATTGAACAGAGTGGGATCAATACTTAGAGTTTGACTGGTATCATCATGTTTTTCTTTCTTCTTTGCAAACATAAGAAACCATGTGTAGAATATGTGATTGCATAAACATACATGTTTATATTCAGGACATCAGATAGATGTTTGCTTTGTGCAGCACTACAGGGACACTGACTCACTAAACACGACCCTGCAAGGAAAAACTAAAACCGAAAAAGAGCCAAACAATATTAATTACTAAAACTTGTAGCTAGCATGCGTCATACCTCTGGGAGTCCAGCAGATCCCTGGGTCTGATGATGGCCTTGACCAGGGCGTCTGGCCGCACTGACTTCTGAGGCGACATCTTGGGGCTGGAGTCTGACTCGCCGCTCTCCTCGTCCCCCATGGCTTTAACATAGCTGCTGCTCCGCATCCGACGGCAAGGTATCTCATCGTCCTTCCCACCTCCAGGATAACCCCCCCACTCATCCTGGGGCACCTTGTGGGTAGGGGGAATAACAAAGACACATAATGGTTGTTTTTGCTACTTGGGAGCAGAGCATTAATACGCTTTCATCTTTTAAAGCTTTTAAAACAGTGAGCGTTTGGAAGCATGTTTGAGCCGCTCCATGAATGTATTATTCATGATGTTTTTAGCTCCGCTTGTTCCTCACTAACTTCCCAGTTTCCTCCTTTAGCTGCTGATTGCTCTGTACTACAAAGCTGCTAACTTTGTTTTTTTACAGACTTTAAAATGCCCATAAATCTGAACCAAACCTCAGACCTGTCACTGCAGATGACCTCTTATGTATTTGTATTGACAGAACATATTTATTACTGCAACTTTAACAGCCTTTTCCTCTCAGTGTGGCTCTCTTCAGCATTACAGATGCCTGCTTTACAGAGTTCTGCTTTGCTTATTAGAAAAAGTGTATTTCTGATACTTGGTGTAGTAGCATTCATTATGTAAAATTACATTTAAAACACTGAATTCACTGTATTAAATATTTTAAACAATAACAGAGGACAGAGGTTTTTCTTAAATGACTAAGTCAAATATGCAAATCAAACGTTTATCACCATGAGACTAAACACTGATTTGCAAAAACTAAACATTTCTTTCAGCAGTTTCACAACAACAATAATGAAACAGATAAAAACAAAACCGCGAGCACCCTGCAGCTCAGCATGTAGCACCGACAGAATTAATCTGTTAAATCTTGATTTTCACTCCTGCATATGCCGTCAGACTCCTGAGCCATCGTCTGAAGACTCTCTGAATCCATTCTGTACCAGTGAAAGTGTCACTCGCTGCAACACAACCCCCAGTCACGCACCGCCCTACAGGCTGAGCGGAGGCATCTCCAGTGGTGAGGGAAAAAGTGTGTACTACTATAAGATAACAAGCGGTTGCTGGCAATAGCAACATGAAACTGGTTGCAAAGAGCTTTGTGGAAAACCTGCGGTTGCTTGTAGTTTGCACAGAAGATGCTGATTTGTCTCTAAATATTTTTACTTCTGCTCATCAAGTGTTTGCAGACAAGTGGGTGACCTCTGTACAAACATCAGGCAACCCTGTGATCCTCTTTGGGACCAGCCAATCACTGCTGGACAGGGAAAGCACATTTTTCCCTTGTTACTGGTAGTTGTGTGACAGGTCTGTGGGAGTGGGGCCTTAGCCGGGTGTACTTCTCAAGAACTTCCACACCGTTTTCCTGGTTTCATCAGGATTCTCATACTGAATTCTGTGGAGTGGATGCAGGGAAGATTAGTGGAGATTATAACCTCGCTCCTCCATATTTACCTGATCTCCATACGTACTCGCCCCCTTGTACACGCCGCTCTTCTTCAGCTTCTCTTCTGCTGTTCCACCTGCTCGCCTGACTACCACAGGAGCCTTTAGCTTCCACTGGATCTCCGGACTACAAACTCTCTCCCTACTTTTGAATCGCATCTTTAAACCCATCTATTCAGAATTGCATATCCTTCATCATGACTCTGTCTTCGTCTACTTTTACATTGTTTAGTTTTTGTACTTTCATGCTTGTTTTTATTTTTCATTTACCTTATGTTTTTATGTTGTTGTACTAACAACACAAAGACCTTGAGGGTCTTTAAAGGTGCCTGTGAATAAAATGTATTATTATTATTGTGTCAGTGAACAACAGATGATTGCACCTTTACTGGACACTGCAGAAACGTCCAAATGTTACTTCTGGTGTGTTGTTATAGCGAACCAAAAACAGGTTCCTGAGTATGCAGCTACCCGAACACAATCTGCCGTCTTCTTGTACTTTCTGCTGATTTTTGGAACAAAGTTTGGCGAGTATTGGTAAGAATATTCTTATCTTTCCTTCCGGCTGTGAACGAGCCATAGCGGTGAGATATTTTTACCAAGTTAACAATACAGAATAACAGAATCCTGACCCCGGTGTCTCACCTTTTTATGTAAATATAGTTGTTTTAAAACCCTGAAGCCATAAAAGCAGCGCTATAATATTTCCGTCAATGAAGCAACATGCCGCTTGATAGACACTTGAACTGAACCCCGACCTCTGGCACAGTTTGTTCCACCCATTGAGCTATGCAGATCCTTTCTTGATTTCTCGATGAGTCAACACACATTAACGCCTTCACACAGCTGTGCGGTGTTTTAGTATTTCTGCAGTTTGGCCAGGTTACAAACTGCTCAAAACCTCGACTGAAAGTCGGCTGTGAATTTGACTGGGCTGCTGATCATAATTACCGCTGGAAGAAAAGCTCGAAACCAGAGGAGAAAAGGAGCTGCCTCTGCTCGCTCTGTCGTAAGCTATCGGAAGTGGAAGCCTGCCATCGAAACGCGCAGGGCACTGCATATGTTGCAATTTTCATCCACTTGTTAAACCAGGTAATTGAGTATCCACGTGAGAATCACCATTTCCCATTCAGAGCGAGAGCACTCATTGGCTGTCTTTATTGCATACGGAGCAAACAGTTCACACTGAACACACAACATCACGAAGGTCTCGAATGTGGAGCGAAGAGGAAGACAATCAGAGGCTCTGTGTGGCTGGAGATTAATACACTTTAATATTAGTCACATGTGCTTTGAGCAGATAGGCTGCTGTGTTATTTGAAAGCGTTTGAAGCAGAACACATGTAACTGTTACCATGTAACTGTGTTATGGGTACAGATGATGTGGAGGAAAATTAGTTTCTGAATCATCATCGTACCACAAAGGAAAAGCGACTCCATTATGGTACATGCCGTTACACAGCACACAGCAAAGCCATTAAAAGGCTCTAATAGGTTTCTGTATTGAAGACAGTGGTGCAGCTTATTAAAATGTGCTGGGCTAACTTCACCCACTGATATAATGAATCAGTGATGATTGTTACTCCCTCTCTCACTCGCTCTCTTTCCTGCACACATTTTTCTTTAAAAAAAAACAACAGAACTGAGTTATTGTGGTGATAACAGCTGAGTCAGAACCTTAGCCTCACTTACAAACACACAGCTGCAAACACAAACCCCTCTTACTCCAGCTTTTCTATTTTGCTTTTTAGATTAACCTCGCTGCACTCTGTGATGTCACAAGCTTAGCCAGCCATGCTTTTACATGATACGACACCGTCAGTCATCATTCTGTGTGGAAGCTGGACTCACTTTCACATCTTTATGGAGATCTCGAGTTTTTATTTTGTTCAATCTGACCGCTGAGCAGTTTTCTTTGATTTCATAGTAACTCTGCCGCCCTGGTTTTAACATGTCCTCAAACCACAACTGAAACACATACACAAATACAAAGTTTGTGTTTTCCTCCAACAATCAGATGTTTCTGAAAATTAACTGGGTGGCAGCTGACTGACAGCGGCAAATGTCAGGAGGAGATGGGCTACATGCAAATGTCATCAATGCATCAGGTAGATGACTGTAATCACTCCCTGATAAAAATGCCATCAGCAGGAAAAATAGCAAGTGAAATGTGAATTTTATTCAAATGGGTATTTGCTGCAAATAAAAGAGTTATCAGTTTTATATGGAAAAAATAGAAAAACATCAAGAATTCATCAAAGGCATTAAAGCTGATGTTATATTTATATTCTGGAACGTAAACGGCACTAATCCCGCAGCGTTAACGTGCGCACACTCACAACTGCTAAACTAGCGAGTGTCATCAGATCAAAACATCTTGAACAATCGAGCAATTATTTCCTCGATCATGATCCACGCTTTGTTGCAAAAAGCTGAATACAAGCATAATGTCCTAACGACACGTCCGTGATGTGAGTCAGCTGTGCCAGGCTCTGGGGACGGGGATCTGGTGAATGTGGAGGCCATGTGAGTACAGTCACGGTCATGTTCCAGGAACCAGTTTGAGACGGTTTGAGCTTCGTGGGGTGGTACGCTACGCTGTGGTCATGAAAGGATGGACGTGAATGTCCCCATTCTGATGCTCACTTTGAACTTCAATGTCTACAAGCCCAAAAGAGCTGCTGCCAGCTGACTCAGAACCAGGTTACCCAATAAAGTGGCATTTTGTGATGACATCACTGAGGAAGTTGTGTTAGGCTTGAGGTGTTTGGATGTGCTGCACAAAATGCCTCTCGAACACTAACATGTACTCGTGTGTGAAAGGAGTTACAGAAGCTTACTGCGATGCAAAACACACAGTTAACTGGGACATGTACACAGCCATATGGATACACTCTCAAACACACAGCGATACAAGTCATTCATCTCCCCTCCAAAGACAGACAGACACCATCTACCAAATGGAGTCGATGGGTTAATTAAGTCTTGGAGGGGTTTGATATTTTTAGACGTCTAATTAATGAACGGAATGCCAGAGGACAGGCACAAGCTGTGGTGAGATTTGTTTAATTTAAATTTGCTGATAAAGAGGATAGATTCCAGGGTGTCTCCCTGTGAAGATAAAAAACAGTGAGTGGTCAGTTTCTGATCGTACGAGTGCTTCGCTGCTCACCTTGACCTAAAGATCCCACTAAGAGAGGAATTCAGAGGTGAGCATCCAAAAATGTTCCACAGGGAAACTTTGATGAAGCTTCTGATGCAATGATGTGAATACGAGCCAAGATTTGTGGGAGCTCTGTGAAAATTCACAGTGGGAAATTTTACATTTTAGCTTTTCTCTTCACAATAACGGAACTTTAACTTGATTTAATCAACTGGATTCTGCTCAAAAAATAAGAGACGCGGTTCGGGGAAAATTGTTTTTCTCGTACTATAATGAGATTTTTATGACCACAACTCCTGGTACGTGCCCAAGCTGCTCCGACACTTCAGCAATGGCAGCAAACAACCTTGCCTCACCAGCATCTCGTAGCAGGATTAAGCAGACACTGGCACATTTGTGTGTCTACTTTTACTTTGTCTACTTTTACTTTCACAGCTTTGATCTGTGGCTCTGTTGGAGGCCAGAGAGAATGCAGTGTGTATATGTGTGTGTTTGTGTGCATGCCGGTAGTGGGGGTAGCCAGGCCCCGGCCAATGCTCCT